AATCTTTATTTTTGGGTCAGCGCACGGGACATCAGAATTCATTTTAAAAATATGGTTTCTTCAGCGAAGTATTTTATTTTGATCCCTATTGTCCGAAAATTATATTTGCCTAAGCAATTTTTTTGACCAATACAAATCGACCCGATCTAATATACATATTTTAATTTATATAACATTATAAAGTTTTTTTTTTGAAACTTATTGAAATAAAATGTAATATTTATTTTGGTTTATACGTTTCGAGACTAGATGTGTCCCATAATTCAGCTAAAAAAATTACATTATTTAATACCAAATTACAAATTTCAAGGTAGAATAAATACTAAACAGGAGAAAACTAATATAATTAAAAATTAACGCCTCAAGGCAAATTGCTGGAACTTACCGTACCATAACGAAATGTTCGAGAAATATTGAATGTTTTCAAATTGATTATTATAAATACTGTAACATTGTCTAATATTTAAAAGAATTATATAAACTGAATTGCAAAGTTAAACATATTTGTTTAAAGTACATTAGAACTTTAGTCAGAATTACGATTAAAATTTGGATTATTTTCGATATAAAAAAATAAATGTTTTTTGAAAAAAAATTTTGAAACAAAAATTTTTTTCCAAAATTGATTATTTTATTAAAACAAGCAGAAAGTTTTTTGAATCATTCAAATCGGACGCTTAGTTCTCTCAAAAACTGCCATTTTTTGCACGTTTAGCTCTGTATCTCCGAAATGGCTAGGCCTGCCTTTGCCAAAAACTAATAACCACTTCTCCCAATCATTACTAATTGAATGTTTTTTAGATCATTCAAATCGAATGCTCCGTTCTCTCAAAAACTCGATTTCTATTTTCTGCACTCTTTGCTCTTTATCTCCGTAACTGCTGGACCTGCCTTTGCCAAAAACTAATCAGCACATCTCCCTATCAATAGAATCGAATGTTTTTTGAACCATTCAAATCGGTTGATCTGTGTAAAATTGTATCCATACATACCTACACACACACACATCCATTTTTTCTGAGGTATGCCAAAATGTTCAGAAACCTTCAAAACGTCGAGAAATGTAAAAATTTTCAATTTCGATTTTCGGCCCATTACAATAACTTACCCTAAGGGAAGTTAAAAAATAATATTAATAACTTAAATTTATACATAATTGTTTGTTGCTTTATGTCCTGTTTCAAAATAATTAAAATTGAATTTTCAATTTTTTGCTTGCTACTTTCTATTGATTGATAAATTAAATTTTGAAATATTACAATCAGCTTTGCACAGTTCGCAAAGAGCAGTATTTAAGTAAAAAAGGTGAAATAACATATTAACGTGAGAACCCTCGAATAAATTGTATTATTCTCAAAAGCACGCTCCCTCATGATTCCCCCGCTTTCGGTGTTTAGCAATGCATGTCGATTGTTTGTTCTCGGTGGGACTGTACTATTGTACGCACCTGAGCCGAACCTCGTCACGGAAACGGCCGAACCTTTCTCATTGGCGTCGCAAACTTCGGCCGCTAGTACACTTGTTGATTGCTTGATATCGCTCGAGAAACGCGAACGTGTTGTGTTGTGTGCCTTATAGTGTAGTATGTTTTAGTGGAAAAGACTTCTTCATTTGATCTCGTTATTATTAATTAAACTAACGTATTACTTTAATGCAAATTGAGTTAATTTTCCAATGCGGGTTACCTGAAAATCAATCTTAACCGCTCAAAGTTACGTGTCATACGAGGTACCAGCGCCAGGTAAACGTGACTCTGTGTTGTTAGATTTAAATGTGTTTCTGTTGAATTATGTACTTAACAATAAATAAATTGTGGACTGTGTGTGCTATTTTTTGAAACATGAGAAAGTGTAGTACGAGGATATCTTAATGCTCTTATATGGAATAAAAGTTCCCGTAATAAAAATGGAACGTTTCGCTTCGTTCCTACTGGTTTTGTCGTGCCTCGCCTCGATTCTTGCTAAAGGTATGTATTACTTATCAGTGACGTACTCGGTATATGCAAGATAACATCTATTTGAATTTTAACATATTTACTGATTACGTTTGCACAAAAAATAATTATATTATCTTCAAAAATGTATTTATTAGTCAATATCCCGCCGGTATAACCTTAAATTGATAGTCTTGATGCAAATCATGCATCATCAATTTGGTAAATATCTAAACTTTATGTTTTTATTCTATTTGTGAGATTAGAAAGTATATAAGAATTCATTGTTTATATAAACAATAGAAAAAATGAATTGCAATTAGCATACAGATCCATATCTTCCACAAATCTAATATATATTAGTTACTAATATTAGTTATTTACTTATATTCAATAATAACTAATGGCGGCGCTAGACAACTTGTCAACGAAATTAGGGCTTGCAAGGCCCCCATTTTTCCCAGCTAAGGAAACATTCAATTACATTCACCGAATTATAGTTAAATTACAGTATGAGTCAATCAGATTTATTTCTAAAGAAATGATGACAAAAATTACTAATTATAATATTAATATTAATTTTAATATTATTAGTTATTACCCCCCTGAAGCGCGGGAACATGGCGGTCACTGACACCTACCTATGTCTGACACAAAATTTGACATTAATTATTTAAAACGAAAAAATTGAATTCGGCAAGATTTTTGCCGTCGATTAGTTTTATTCATTTCTATTATTATTTAGAAACTTTTAGTTGTTATGAACTACTTCTTATAACGAGACTCTGTGAGGGTTTTTTTTAATTCCGACAGAATTCTCAGACGCAAGGTCAAGGTCTATGCCTAACACCTCCACCTATTATTTTTGTTTTAATAATTTATTGGATACTTTAGATAAAAGGAGCAATGTGTGTTCCAAGAATTAATCCAAACATGTTTCATAATATTAAGTTCAATAATATAGCAAAACTAGTGGAGTGCATCGTGCCTTAATTCAAATTGCTGGAACTTCCCGTACCGTAATTAAAAATCTTGGTA